AGGCCTTTCGTAGCGCGAGCCTTACGTTGAGGAGTTTGGATGAACTAGAGCAGAGTGATCATTCCCTTGTTTAAAGTCAGCACGCATTCTACTTCCACTCGCAGTGGCACTAGAATGGGATATGGCCTATATAACGCCTATATAACGGGCAAGCCGATATACAAGTCGGAGTTTCATCTGCCCAGACAAAAATCATAAGATACCGACCAACGGAGCCGGGAAGAATTTACCCCGGAAGCCGGAAGAACATGGCTACCCTGGGCGGGGCGATCGGCTTAAAGACAGCCCCCGCGCTCGAGTAGTACATGGTCGTCCTTCCTTGTGCAAGTAGTACAGCCCCCAAGCTAGAGACTGTCCCACTCTATTCGTCTGCACAGCGAGCGAGAAGCGAGCTACAGCCGCTGTAAGTTCTAGTTCTAACGCCTGCTCAGTTGGACCGCCTTACTTGCTAGATGTCCTCCGACGGAGGCCATTAGGGGTTCTTAGTCGGAGGCGGCGGGCATGCTAAGCATGCTGGATAATTCTGCTCCCCTTTATTACAGTTTACTCATTGGAGGTATATACATTCAATTCAACTCATTTCGCGAGGTGAAACGCGTAAAAAGCACGAGTGACGCAATTTTCGTGATGCAAAACCTCGACGCACAAAACGTGCGCTACCGTAATCCCAAATTCGCGTTGATAAAATTCCTTTTCCCTTCCAAGAGTTTTTCCTCTGCGTTTTGTTGTTTTCTTTTTGTATTCTTTTTTTTGCACTGGATGATATCAACTACTGCGAGATGTGATAGAGAGATTTGTGAGCTAGGGGTTGCACAGAGACCGCAGGGAGGTGTGACTGTGAGGGAGCGATTTTTATTTATGTTGTTCTGGAGGACGCTTCTTGCCTGTTTTCTTCTTTCTGACGTTTATTATCAGCTGACTGTTTCATTAATTGGAAAAGCAGCTATCCATGAGACTTTTATCGCGGGAGCTGTCTTTAAGTGCACCGCGCGTGAGTTGGCAGCTTATCACTACACCACAGCCACATCTTGACGGCTAATAGTATATTCTTCAGGACTCTCCACGCTGATCACACGAAAGGAATCTGCATGAATTGTTACGCGTTACGTCTTTTTGATACCCCCCCCCACTTCACCGTCTCGAAAAGGACGTACTGAGTATAAATCAAGTAGGCATATTGGTATGCTGGACCCTGCCCACATGCACGGACCGTAACTTCTATGCGCTAGTGAAGTCAGGGTACAGCATCGTGATGTGTGAGGTGGTGGCAAATTTAATTTCCCCCATTTTCCAATTTTTTCACCCAAAAATTTTCCGTCCGTCGAGGGGAGAATCCCCCAACTTCCTACCACCTTTTCCGAATTCCCAAAAATCCGAAGATTTCCCTACTTTTTCCCTGAAATTTTGCTGGGGGGAGGGGTATGTAGTACACATGAAACAGGAAAAATCACGTAAAAAGTCAACAATCGGAAAACCAACGGACAAAATTCTTCACATACGCCCCCCCCCCCTTCCTCCCAACGACCAAACACAACCCCCCCCCACCCAGAGAAAAGTACGACCACCCTATGTGTTTCACAAAACGATGCTTACCCTGAGTGAAGTTGTTCACGGCTATTGAAAGGAATAGCATAGAAATAGGTCAATTTACAGTTTCTTCACTGCGGATGTTGGGGTGTTTTGGGTGAGTTGGACTTGGAGCGGCGCTAGCCCGTTTCCCACCAATGGGGCCGGACCGCCTACTAGCTTTCACAACTAGTGGAGAAGGAGAATGCGCTAGCGCCAAGCCAAACCTAGACCCCCTCCCTAACACGCCCGAGCGTTCGCAGCGAAGAACACTGTATGACTGCACTAGCCATAAAGGGATAAAGTCTCTCAGAACAAGGGGAACTCGCAGATCGAAAAAAAAGAATTCGGTAGCCATTACTAACGAATTTAAAGATGGAGGAGCTAAAATATACAAAAGTACACCAACCTTCCTAGGCGCTTCTCTACTAAAGTAGGAGTACGGGAAGAACTTCACAACACATTTGTCGCCCGTACCATGGTTGATGATCTCCATATCTCCATGATTATCGATCCAAAGCTTACCGACAATAATATTGTGAACAGTTGTCGTTATCTACAATCGTAAAACCATAAAAAAACGTCTGGAAAAAGAGACCGAGAATAAGATGGATGAGTGGGACTCACCTTCTTATAATGGTTCGCTGAAGTTCACCTAAACGGAAACCATTACTGAAATGGAAACCACTAGGGACTGCAACAAAAAAATATAAGGATTCAAAACGAGAATAACGAGAAAAAAAAGGAAAAGAAAAAAGAGAAGTTAGCTCTGTAAGAACTATCTTGGAACTGGGTAGGTAACGAAGTTGTCTCTAGAAAAGTTGAACAAGGGACTGAATTATCGTCGCTGCATGCCGCTGAAAGAGTTTCCTCGCGAAATAAAACTAGTGAAAGGAAGCGCCCCAATCATTCCCTTCTTCAGCCTCTCCCCCCCCTCCCGAATTTTCCCGTCTGGTACGATCCCCTACCTCCCTCATGCTACCTACGACTTTTCTAATGGTAAGTTCCGCAACTCCTTGCCACTTTTTTTCCCCGATTTTCTGAATGTCTGGTTTTTCTAGTCGAGTGGCGAGCGGGTGAGGGGGGGGTTTCGAATCACCAAACAACTACAGACTGTTAACTTTCAAAAAATAGTGGGACTGCTGTACGGGTAAATTGACGCCGAACGGGCCGGGCGTGCGGCGGTCCGCGGGAAATAAAGCAAAAACGCCTGAAATCAGCAAACTACATCAACGAAAAACTTTTCTCAGGGCAACGCATCCGATAAATCCCTGATTATATTTTCCGTAAAGAGCGGAAAAAGCCATGCATCCATTTTGGTAAACGCAAAGGCAGTGGGACGATCGCTGGAGGCGGGCGTCTTTCACGCAAGTCATTGTGGCAGAGCTGAGTGCAAGTACAAACCCCCTTCTCTCGCAGCGTCACACACCAGTGGCGTCGGCAACAAATCTACCGGCTCCAAGCAATCGCTCGCCTCTGATTGTGCTCCTCAAGTTCCTGTAGAACCCTCTTCTGGCTTCAGCTGAGGATAGGAGCGGCCATCCGATGTGATCATCTGAAGATTCGATCCTACTTAATTTCATGCATCAAACTACGGACCCCCCCCCATAGCTAGACACGTTTTCCCAGGTTTCCTTTACCACCTTTTTTTTTCCGTAAAAAAAGTTGCGGTTTTTTTTCAGACAAACGGTATAGGTGTTTTTGGATTTCCTTGCGGGTGTGAAAAGGATGAGGGTCGAGCTGAACCTTGCAGCTAATCTTTATTGAGATGGGTAGGGTGGGGTTGAGTAGTAGGGTTTTTGGCGTTTATATTTGATATAGCGGGAACTTTCGAATAAAAACGGTATCTTACAGAATGCAAATTGATCGAAACTGTGGGGGAAAAATTCCTCCAGGTTCGGCTAGAGCTAGATTTCTCACGGGTGTTCTTAGCAGCCTAAGTCTCATTAGTATTGTTTTTTTTGTCATAATTTATTTTACTGTCTGGATCGCATTGTCTAGTCTCACAATATTTCCGTCGTTACTCTGTCCAATAGCTCTTTTTTTTCATTCAAAAATTCTATTTGAACCGCGCCTGTGACAACGTCTCAGATGGTTGGAAACACTGAAACCATGCGAGGAAATCATGCCTCTTGGTTGACAAATAAGATGATTTTTCTTAGGGGTCTTCATGTATGCTACATAACCACACGCACCTCGTTAACCGCGCTTTCGCTTTTTTATGCTCCATGTGCATAGCACGCAATCTATGCTGTGAAGTGTCAGCGACTGGGTGCTGACGAGGAGTGTGACTGTGGATAATCAGGACTTAACGATTCTATAGAAAGAGTCGCATTTAGAGCGAGTCGAAGTGTTCTTCAAACGATAAGGAGCAAAGGCACTAACTGGCATGAGGAATCTTTTTGACAATTCTTTTTCCTATACATTCTCAATTTTTGACACAGACTGTTGGGGTTGCAAGATCCGGGTGGACGTCCGGGGAATTTTGTACCTATCTTCGAACGTCGATGACCGGTTGCCACTCGGGCTACACACCTAGCTCCGTATTTTCTTTTGGAGCGTACATTTGGAGACCATTGTTAAAATTATGGGACAGTAGGTTTTTCCTGGAAGTATGTGACGTATTATGAACCAATTAACCACCGCTTTGCATAAGGCATTTCGGAACCGCAGAACTTACGGTTAGGGCTAACAAGCGTTGCGCAAAATTTCGGCAAAAAACGCATCCTCCACGCCGCCAATCCCTCCCGGTATTGCCCCCCCCCCTTTCACAACCCATCTATCCTTTGTCCCAAATAGCCTTTAAGTGCGGTACTCCGCGCGTAAAACGTAAAAAACCAGCAACTAGAATAAGTTTCTCACAGCGAAATACAACCCTCATCCCTCGCCAGCAAACGAGTACGACCCTTCGGTCTCTTTTACACAGCGGATGCTGGGCTCTGGTTACGGTGCCACCATCCCGACTGTGCTAGGCCTATATCCGACGGTAGTACCGCAACGGGTGTAAGCTAAGACTGCCGGCCAGAGAAAGGCCTAGACCGCCTCATTCTTTGTCAACTTTCATGGTTGTCTTCCCATTCCATAAAACGCGAGAGTAGGAAAGCTTGGGTGATCTCACTATGAGTGTATCTGGTCCCGTGGCAAATGCAAGGGCAACAGGACGCTTCGAGGCACTGCGCTACAGCCATCACAAAATAACAGGAATGTGAGGAAACAACAAAAACTGCTATGCCATTAGGAGCATTGAAAGTGAAGGGCACCATCTCCGGGGGCATACGATTGTCACCCACATCATTGATGGAAGGGCTCAGTAGGGTGTGGCCGAACGCCTCTCGCAGCCCTCTCACCAATAACGCTAGCTACAACCGACCGCCTTCAGCAATGGTGGCCTACTGCCTTTGAGGCACCGAAACTGGTAAGAGGACGGAAGGAGAACTCACCAAAGTGGAAGCGGTTTCCAGTAGAGACGCATACTCCAGATCTTCCGTAATTCTCTGCAGCACCGATAATGGTTCGCTGAAGTTCACCTAAACGGAAACCATTATTGAAATGGAAACCCACTAGGGACTGCAACAAAAAAATATAAGGATTCAAAACGAGAATAACGAGAAAAAAAAGGAAAGAAAAGAAAAAAGAGAAGTTAGCTCTGTAAGAACTATCTTGGAACTGGGTAGGTAACGAAGTTGTCTCTAGAAAAGTTGAACAAGGGACTGAATTATCGTCGCTGCATGCCGCTGAAAGAGTTTTTCGCGAAATAAAACTAGTGAAAGGAAGTGCCCCAATCATTCCCTTCTTCAGCCTCTCCCCCCCCCCCGAATTTTCCCGTCTGGTACGATCCCCTACCTCCCTCATGCTACCTACGACTTTTCTAATGGTAAGTTCCGCAACTCCTTGCCACTTTTTTTCCCCGATTTTCTTGAATGTCTGGTTTTTCTAGTCGAGTGGCGAGCGGGTGAGGGGGGGTGTCATCACCAAACAACTACAGACTGTTAACTTTCAAAAATAGGGTGACTGCTGTACGCGGTAATTGACGCCGAACGCCGGCCGGAGGGGGCGGTCGCGGGGAATAAAGCAAAAAAAACGCCTGAAACAGCAAACTACATCAACGAAAAACTTTTCTCAGGGCACGCATCCGATAAATCCGTGATTATATTTCCTGTAAAGAGCCGGAAAAAGCCATGCACCACTTTTTGGTAACCGCAAAGGCAGTGGCACGCATTCGGCTGGAGGCGGGCGTCTTTCACGCAAGTCATCTGGTGGAGAGCTTGAGTGCAAGTTACAAACCGCCCTCTCTCGCAGCGATACACACCCAGTGCGTCGGCACAATCTACCGGCTCCAAGCAATCGCTTGTCCTCTGGCTTCACTGTCAAGTTCCTGGTAGAACTCTCTGCTGGCTTCAGCTGAGATCAGGAGCGCGCCATCGCTGATGTGATCATCTGTAAATTCGACCTACCTAATTTATGCATCAAACTACGGACCCCCCCTCATACCTACCACTGTTCCCGCAGCTTCCTACCACCTTTCCGAAAAGATTCGGTTTTTCAGCCAAGAATTTTCCGTAGAGCGGGGAGAGAAGGGGGGGGGGAGGATATAATACCCAATGTGGGACAGGAAAATTCTCAGTCGGAAGTAGTAATTGTATACATCTTTGACAGTCCCTCTCCCAACAATGACCAACTACGACCCCGTCCGTGAAACAAGAGAAATCAGCTGTCAAAAAATTTTCTCAGGCCAAATACGACCCCCCCCCCGTTGTGATCATCACAACGGCGCGCCCTGAACGAGATTCGTGACCACGATTGAAAGTGCAGTTAGACGCGAGTCGAAGTGTCTCAGAATTCAACCAATAAGAGCAAAGCACTAACCGGCATAGGAATCTTTGACAATTCTTTTCCTATACAGTTCTTCATTATTGACCAGAGATTGATGGGAAGATCGGGACGATCGGGAATGGTCGAACGCCGTACACGACCACCAGTTTGAGATGGTGTGATTGGTTTGACGGGAGTGGGATTGAACGACGAGGACGATAGTCCCATACCAGCTGCAGCCCTCGGTGGCGCATCATTCAACGTTGACAACGATTCCGAATCCGAATTACGTTCAGAGCCATGTCTTCTGAAATCGATAACGTCATTTTGAAATCAATAGTGATCGCGCTGAATTTCATATTTGGTCCAGTAACCTTTTCACTGCCGTCTTCAAAGGGCTAAACATTGTTCGAGATGGTGAAATTATATTCTACACCCTACCAGAGGTGTCACATCCTTTTTTTCAAGAACGCCAGCACCGCATCATGAATTTTTACCAACAAACCTTAAATTATATCACCAATCGACGCGAAGATAAGAGATTCGACGATTTTCACACGGTTTCGCGAACGGATAACATTGAAATCACCTGTTTCTCAAGATTAAGCACGGTAAAACGATTGCTCGGATAAACCCACATATGAAGCGCTTTGCATGGCAATATCGTTCATGTACTTCAAAGACAATGGTCACGATGGCCGGGGGGGAGAGGTGGCACACCCCACAGCTTTTCCACCAATGACGTTTGCAGTAACAGCCCGCCCCCAGCCATCATCCCTATGCCTTTAGAGGCGATGCCTTCGATAGCCACTCGTGAGAAGTGAGGTTCAATTTCAAATGTCAAGATTTTATGTTTCTCATCAGTGAAAAAGAAAACAGGAAGAACCAGCGGCAAAGTTCTTTCAGAGACACCTCCCAGTTCTATACATTACAAGAACAAACGGAAGAGACACTACACGTGGAACAGAGAAAATCGTCGACGAAATAGCAACAATTGATGGAGACTCCAGCGTCATATAGCGACGTGATAAGGGTGGAGATCCCAAGCGGAGAGGCGGAGAAGATAAAGCGTGACATAGCCTGGACGCTGTTACCTAATAGTGAGCCGAAAAAGTGGGAGATCTTAGTCAGCGTTCAGACTTCGCGACGGCAGCGCTCGGTCGCGCGTTCGATGCGATCTGATGCGCTCACCTTCGACTGCATCGATCGCGTCGAACGCGCGACTGAAGCGCGCCGTCGCTGCTTTGGGCGGGTGCGGACTGCGCCACCAGTTTGATAAGGCATCGACCTCTAACAGGCATAGGGATGATGGCTGGGGAAGGCTTGTTACTGTCGCAACGTTCATGTTGGTGGAAAAGCTGTGGGGGTGTGAGCCACCCTGCACCCCGCTCCCCCGCCACGGCCATCGTGACCATTGTCCTTTAAAGTAATGAACGATATTGAGGCCATGGCAAAGCGATTCATATGTGGGTTTATCCGAGCAAATCGTTTTTAATAGCCGTGCTTTAATCTTGAGAAACAGGTGATTTCAATGTTATCCGTTCGCGAAACCGTGTGAAAATCGTCGAATCTCTTATCTTCGCGTCGATTGGTGATATAATTTAAGGGTGTTGGTTTGGTAAGAAATTCATGAATGCGGTGCCTTGCCGTATCTTTAAGAAAAAAAGGGGATGTGACACGGGTCTGGTAGGGGGTGTAGGAGAGGTAGGATTCCACCATCTACGACAAGGTGTTATAGTACCTTTTGAAGAACGGCAAGTGAAAAGTAGCGTGGACCAAATATGCAAATTCAGCGCGATCACTATTGGTTTCAAAATTGACGTCTTATCGGCATTTCAGATAGAACATGGCGCTGTCTGAACGTAATTCGGATTCGGAATCGTTGTCAACGTTGAATGATGCGCCACCGAGGGCTGCAGCTGGTATGGGACTATCGTCCTTCGTCGTTCAATCCCACTCCCGTCAAACCAATCACACCATCTCAAACTGGTGGTCGTGTACGGCGTTCGACCATTCCCGATCGCCGATCTCCACATCAATCTCTTGTCACATAGTTGAAGACTGTATAGGGGAAAAGAATTGTCAAAGATTCCCTATGGCCGGTTATAGTGCTTTTGCTCTTATTCGTTGAAGACACTTCGACTCGCGTCTAACTGCACTTTCAGTCGTGGTCACGAATCTCGTTCAGGGCGCGCCGTTGTGATGATCACAACGGGGGGGGGGGGTCGCCTTTGGCCTGAGAAAATTTTTTGACAGCTGATTTCTCTTGTTTCACGGACGGGGTCATAGTTGGTCATTGTTGGGAGAGGGACTGTCAAAGATTTATACACTTACTATGATCCGCGACTGAGGAATTTTGCCTGTCCGCACATTGGTATATACCACCCCCCCCAGTCCCCCCTTCAGCTCCCACGCTTTACCGGAAAATTTCTTGCTGAAAAACCGAAACTTTTCGGAAAAAGGTGTAGGAAGCGGGAAAGTGGTAGGTATGAGGGGGGGGGGTCGTATTTGATGATGAAATTAGGTAGGGTCGTATTTTTCAGATGATCACAACGCGATGGCGTGCCCTGATCTCAATTGAAGCCAGAGAGTTCTCACTTGAAGTGAAGCCAGAGGGAACGATTGCTGGAGGCGGTAGGTTGTTGCCGACGGCCACTGGTGTAGCGCTGCGAGAGAGGGGTTTGGTTACTTCCACTCAGCTCTTCCACCAGTGACGTTGGTGAAAACCGCCCGCCTCCACACTTGGTGCCCCACCCCACGTCCCGCTCTCCTGCGCCATTCGTACCGCCCACCCCCCGCGGCGTGACCCAACCTGCCTTTGCGTTGTTACCAAAAAAATTGGATGCAATGCTTTTTTCCGCTCTTTAACGCGAAATATAATGCAGGGGATTATGGGGATGGCGTGGCCTGAGAAAGAAGTTTTTTCGTTGAATTGTATTTCCTGTTTTTCAGGCCGTGCTATCCGAGCCCTGACCCCTGCCCCCTCGGACAGGCGCGACGTCAAAGTTTCCCCATACAGCACTATATTTTTGGGGTTTTAAAGTCCGGATAATTGTTTTGGTGTCCCCGCGCCTCGCCCACTCGACTAGAAAAACCAGAACAATTTTCAGAAAATCGGGAAGAAAAAGTGGCAAGGATTGCGCGAACTTAGAAAAGTCGTAGTGGCATGAAAGGGAGCGTACCAGGGGGAAAAATTCGGAAGCGGGGGGGGGAGGGGGGTGGAGAGGCTGAAGAAGGGAATGATTGGGGCACTTCCTTTCACTAGTTTTATTTCGCGAAAAACTCTTTCAGCGGCATGCAGCGACGATAATTCAGTCCCTTGTTCAACTTTTCTAGAGAGACAGCTTCTTTTCTTTCTTCCTTATTTCTCGTTATTTACCCTCGTTTGGAATTCTTATATTTTATTTTTTTTTTTTTTGTTGCAGTCCCTAGTGGGTTTCCATTTCAATAATGGTTTCCGTTTAGGTGAACTTCAGCGAACCATTATCGGTGCTGCAGAGAATTACGGAAGATCTGGAGTATGCGTCTCTACTGGAAACCGCTTCCACTTTGGTGAGTTCTCCTTCCGTCCTCTTACCAGTTTCGGTGCCTCAAAGGCAGTAGGCCACCGTTGCTGAAGGCGATGTAAGCTAGCGTTGATTGTGAGAGGGCCTGCGGAGGCGTTCGACACACCCTACTGAGCCCTTCATCATGGATTGGGGTGATATTCGTCTGCCTCCAGAGGTGGTGCCCCTCACTTTTGATGCTTATATTATAATGGCATACAGTTTTTGTTGTTTCCTCACATTTCTGTTGTTTTGCGAATGGTTGTAAGCGGCAGTGGCCGTTTATCGAAGGCGTCCTGTTGGGCCTTGGATTTGCTAGCGCGACCGATATAGTCAGCATCACACCAGGCTATCCTACTCTCGCGTTTATGGAACAGAAAGACAAACGCATCGAAGTTGACAAAGAAGGAGGCGGTCAAGGCCTCCCTCTGGCCGGCAGTCTTAGCTTACACCCGGCTGCGGTACGACTGCCGGATATAGGCCTAGCACACTCAGGATGGTGGCACCGTAACCAGGCCCAGCATCCGCTGTGTAAAAGAGACCGAAGGGTCGTACTCGTTTGCTGGCGAGGGAAGAGGGTTGTATTTCGCTGTAAGAAACTTATTCTAGTTGCTGGTTTTTTTACGTTTTACCGCGCTTAAAGGTTATTGGGACAAGTAAAAAGGATAGATGGGTCTGTGAAAGGGGGCATACCGGAACGGATTGGCGGCGTGGAGGATGCGTTTTTTTGCCGAAATTTTGCGCAAAGCTTGTTAGCCTTAACCGTAAGTTCTGCGGTTCCGAAATGCCTTTATGTAAAGGGTAATTAATTGTCTATAATAACGTCACACGATACTCAGAAGAACTGCTACTGTCCCATAAAATTTTGTACGCCTTACCTCTTAACTATAATCTGATCTTTAATTCAATTTTTTTTGCAAAATTGCTATATTGGCCCGCTTATAAGGAGCCAAGTTCGAACAAAATGCCTATGTAGCAGCGTAGACGGTTGTTAGCAACTATTCACTAACTGAAACGCGGTACGAATAAACCGTTCAATCCCTTTTTGAAAAAAAAATTTAGGAGAGACCTATGAATGTGATCGTAACCACCATGATCTGGGCTGCGCAGTAATCGACGGACAGTGGGACTTCGCAACCTATATTCAATTTGATTCTGGTTCTTATCGCGATTACAGTGTTGTTTACGCACTCCACTCCCACTTCGTTTTCTTTCTTTTTCTTATCTGTATGTAGAGGTTAGAAGAGCGAGAATTTCAGTAGCGCATAAAGAGCCCCCCCCCCCCCCGCGGTCTCTGTGCAGCCCCTAGCTCACAAATCTCTATCACATCTCGCAGTAGTTGATATCATCTAGTGCAAAAGAAAGAATACAAAAAGAAAAAAACAAACAACGCAAGACGGAAAAACTCGGGAAGAGAAAAGGAATTTTAATCAACACAGCTGTCCTGAATTTGTGACTAACCAAGTCGGCCTCGCCGCCTGAGCCGGACGTGGCTCCTTCTACGGCCCGGCTGCGCCGGGCGGGCGCGGCTTCGCCGCGCGTACCTTTCCTCGTAGAAAAAATGTGGAAAAGAAGAAATGCGGGGTCTGCGAAAATGATGAAAATACGAAAATGCGGTACGTATCGACTGGTAGACGCAGATATGCGGAGTTCGCAGTAATGCGGAATCTACAGAAATGACGAAAAGGATTAAATGAGCCGTGGTCAGACTTCGCGAGAGCAGCGCTCCGGTCGCGCTTTCGAACGCGATCAAATGCAGGTAAAGCATAACTCATACAAACGCGCGACCGAAGCGTTACCGTCGGGAAGCCTGAGCGCTGCCATACACAACGATTCTTCGCAATTTGCCATTTTCGCATGG